TCGAAATCAGACTATCAAAAACTGTCAGATGGCTTCAGATCCGATAGGATGCATTTGCCCTGGATATGTAACGAAAAAGAATTTTTATACTTTGCTTGATTTCCAGAAAGTTTTTAGACAATCGATTCTAGATCACGCTGACAAAAAAAGAAGAGAAAAATAATAGAGAGAGAGAGAGGAGACTCAGAGAAAAGAAGAAAAATCTAACGTGGATTAAGGGTTGTGGTTCGAATCTAGAAGAGATAAGAACGAGAGAAAAGAAAAGAAAAAAATATATATATAGGTATTACTCATCTCTGTAAAACATCGTATCTCCACAATTATTGTAGTTTTCTTTTTCTTACTTCACATCGTATTTGTTGCTTCACGCTTCAATTCTTCCTTTATTTTATTTCTTTGTTTTACTTTTCTTTTTTTCCTTTTATTGTATTTTAATGTAGTTCGTTATGGGTATCTATGATCTGAAAGTTCAATTGTTCCTTTAGAACTGATATGGTCATAGGGCTAAACAATGCTAATAATAAACAAAAAGAAGATCATTCTATCTTGTGTTATATATTGCAGGTCACATTTACATACAGTCTTGATAGATGTTAAACTTGTGTCATTCGCACAGTATCGTTTTTCTTTTAACAAGTTGTTCATTAGGCTCTTTTATCATTGAACAGTTTCGTTATAGGTAATGGTGTTTTTTGAAAAACGAAATTCTTTTTGTATTCATCGATAAAAATGAAAGTTATTTGATACTTTTCTTTATTTCTAATCAATTATCTTTGGTGCTGGAAAAAAATATGCAGAATAATCTAGATGATGATCCATTTTGATATTTTATTTTCTATGCTAATATTTATTTTTAATACGATTAATTTTATAGTAAAGGTCAAAAAATTGATATTTTTTTTTTCGAATTAAATATAGATAATATAAAGTATAACTGATAAGAGAATAAAAATGATATAAAGGAATGACCGAGTTAAACAAGCTTCAAGAACCATTATACTTCTTATTTAATTATGAAGTTACATTAGATTAACTATCGATAATTATGTTAACAAAGTTAGAAAACATCAGAAAAAAAACATGTCTAAAATATTGTTATCATAATAAAATTGTTTATAAAATGCTTGATTTTTTTTATTGATATTCAAGTATATTTTGTTTGTAATATTTATATGGTAATGAATGTTAGGTTCGAAAAAACTATATCATAGGATATAAAAATCATTTTATTTATTCTTCATGACAACGTCAAATGTATAATGCATTGATAATTTTAACCCCTCAATAATAAACATTAATGTCAGTACCCGACAGAGGTCAGACCAAAAAAACAAAAGTTGTCGTTGGGTTGGGTTGAATAACGAAAAAAATTTTGAACTTTGGAGTGGTTGTGCAATCTAAACGTTTTGCATATACAGAAGACACTTTGAATGTTTTTTTTTCATTTAGAAGTTCTATAAGAGAGTCTGCAAAAGTTTAGTAGAACAAAAAATTATGTATCGCACGTTCTTTTCTTCTACTTCACTGACTTTTGTTTGTTGATATTGGACAACGATGCATGGCGTGTGATCAAAACAGAGTATAATGAAAAATCAAAGGTCGATCTTACTGTGAACCATTAGTTAGATATCAGATTATCCAATCAAAAAAAAACGTCCAATAGCTATTGTTCTCTGTGTTTTTTTTTCTACCAAAGAATACTATTGTTTTCCAAACCTACAGTGAAAAAAAAAGTACAATGTACATCAAGTTACTTTGTTTACCTGCTTCTGATTTGTCCATATTATATTTGGCTAAATTATATCAGCAGTTCGTTTTGTATATAAGCAACATGCATAGGTATACTTTTCTATGTTTATTTTATATCTTTAATCAAAACAAGACAACACATTAACATGTATTGGTTTTTGATGATAGGATTGTTTTTATTAATTAATAATTCAATAGGATGTAAAAGACCTTCATTATCACAAATAACTGCTCAAAAAGATTTTTGTCTAGAAAAGTTTCTTGGTCAATGGCACCAAATAAAATGGTATACAAGTGAAATAAATCATAATCCATCTGAGTCATGGACTGATTATTCTCAATTTTTTGCATTAGACAATTGTATTAATCAACATGTTCTTGCTTTCGGTAGAGCACGATTACCTAATGGAACAGAATGTTTTTCATTTGGTCCATGGTCAATTTTTGCATATAATGGTGCAAAAATGATTGTTGAAACAGACGATATCAATAAGAATACAAAAGTTAATTGGCCTTATATTATATTAAAAACCGATTATACTCATTATGCATTAATATATACATGTATAACAAAAGGTGCTACACGAAATGATCCATGTACAGAAGAAGTAGTAGAAGTATTCAGTCGAACAACAACCTTAGCAAAAAAATATTTAACTGAAATTGATAATTATATTAAAAATATCTTATGTGTTGATCTAAACAAATTTGAACCAATTGTATATCGTACACCACTGTGCTTTCCAGATAGGTGCAGAAACGTCCATAAAGATGGATATTTTCCCTGGGCGAAAAAATAACTCGACGAATTTCCAGACTTCGCAGCTCCAAACAAACATTCCTAAACAATAATTTACAAAATACTTTCTTCAAACATAATATTTTTTCGAAAATTTCCCCAAACGAGTGTTTATGCACATCGATAGATTAGGTATCTATAGTTATACATCATCATTAAGATTAAAAATTTATCCAATATTATTCTTTTTTTTTATTTTACTTATTTTATTTTTGTTTCTAATATACAAATAAATATGTCTAACAAAAAGAGACAAAAAAAAGAAGAAAGAATTACTTTTAGTAATATTGTATTGTATGTGTTCGAGAGCACCCTAACAGCATTCATCGTTATTTATTATATATGAGAGTGAATTGCAACTTTTTGGTACGATTAACTTGAAAACATGAAAGTAGACCTAAACAATTTCTGAGTAATGTATTTTATTACACTCTATACCTGCTTTACGTGGCAAAAGTTTCTCAACACTTTATTGGATATAAAGGAAAATACACGCTGTACAGTTCAATTTCT